CAGATACATCAAGAATAAATAAGGATATTCTAGAAATATAATTTTTTCTAAAACTATCTGCCCCTCTTCCCTCCTATCTGGGGTTACTAATGATCTTGCACCCTTCATTTTACTTGTTTTCGTATCGGAAAAATATTTGTCACAGGCAAAAATAAAGATGTCTAGGTTATCCTTTCACTTTCAACTCTTTAATATTTGAAACAAAAAAACGATAGATGCTTTCAATGCTGTGATAGAAGACAAAGAAGTCTGGTTCAACAATATATGTCAAGCCTACATTTGAATGTAAATCAGTCATGGGAATAGGAAGTCTCCAGTCTAAGAGGAAACACGCTCATCATTCCTGGCTATCACTAGATCTTTTTAGACTATTTTTTAGACTTTTTCACTGTTATAGTTTTCTGTAAGTATTTACATTTTAATTTGTATCTCCCATTGTTGTATCTTTTTCTTTACTTAATGAGAAGGGACTTCCACTGTTTTTCACCATTAAAAAATTGAATTAACAATAGTTATTCAAAAAATTAAGATAAGGAGATCCATATATAACGCCTTATAGATAGATAATCAATGTTACTGGTTACTAAAATTAATTACCACAGTGAGCTTTATCTTTACAAAAAGAGAACCTAGAAGTGGCCACAAATAGAAAAGACATAATTGATAGCACGAAATGAATATCGTAGACAGTGACAAACTAGTTACAATCACCATCATCATCATCATCACTAGGCATATCCTAACTATTTGGGCTAAATGAAGGCTCATTTTATCTCCTTTATAGTCAAGTATTCCTAAGAGTCTGAACTAAGTTTTTGCATAATATTTTAACCAACCTCTATGTTATTTTCAGTTTCATCATTTTTTTCTAGTTCTCCAACACTAATTTTAATTATAAATCGAGCAGGCGTATTTTCTACTAACCATATTAGTTGTTCAAACTACCTAATCCCATTTTTTATTACCTTATCTTCAAAAGTAGTTAAGCATTCCTCAAATATAATCATTCCTCAAGTTACCCTTCTTAGTTAAAATGATACCAAGGAAATGAATATAATTCATTTTCACTAAAATTTCAAAGGACAGTATGCATTAAATGTTTCAAGAAATGTTAACCATGATGTGCTAAGTGCATAAATACCACAACATATAAAAACTGATATTTAAATAGTGATGGCAGCACAAAAACTGAAGACTCACTGCAAGGTTACTGAGAAAGGAAAAAAACCTGAGAGGGTCGCATACGTTCCTCAAACCTTTGAAGAGTATATAAGCGGAAGCAAATTCCAGGCCTCACACGGCCAGCTCTCCCTTGCCGTTGTTTTGCATTTGCCTGGGATATCCATTCTTCAACCAGGCTTGACATTTTCTGTGCAAGATAGGATGGTAAGAGCATAGAAAAACAAAATAATGAATGTTTATTTTAATTTGAGAAGATAAAAACTCTGTCATTGTCAGCCCAAGCTCCAGATGTGAAAAGTGGAGGTTTGCGTTAGTTAGTCGACAACCGTGTAAAATTTTCCAAAAATCATGGCATGAATCCTTTAAATCCTTGCTTGACACATAGAGACAAAATGTGAAATGAATGTCTCAGTAATAGGGTTGGTGTAGCTCCAGTGACGGACAAGATTAGAGAGAGTCTTCTTAGATGGTTTGGTCACATTATACGTCGATCATCTGATGATCCGATTAAGAGAGTAGATGTTTTAGATTCAACTAATGTTAAGAAAGGCAGCGTTAGATCTAAAAAGACTTGGGCATATTGTATAAAAAATGATCTTAATCCATTAGAATTAAATGAAAATAAGACACTCAATAGGAAGCAATGGAGAAAAAGGATTCATAAAGCCGACCCCACTCAGTGGGATAAAAGTTTGTTGTTGTTCTTGTTGTTGTTGTTGTTGTAACTTCTTCATTCTTCCTTCTTCCAGCATTCACTGGAATAGCAGTAAACAGATCATCATCATCATCATCAACCTTATCCCAACTTTGGAGTCAGTAATGTTGTGAAGTAAGCAAACTAAAAATGCTGTGCTATCATTTATGTGTTTCAATGTCCAAAAAAAAGATGTATGGTCATCTGATATTGATGGAAACAGCAGAAAATTAAGCTGTCTGGGGAAAGTGTAATACGTTATAGATGAATTACTCAATAAACATGAAGGTTCAACTAATCGCACCGAATTGCTTATGGGAAATCCAATAGAAAGAAAGAAACCTATCAGCGTCCTAAGAGAATATCGGATATTACTAAAATATAGTAGGTAAAAATTTTAGAAAATGCATTGCTGGATAACTTGCTGACTTAAAGTGGCTCCTTTTATAGGATCGCCCTTGCAATACTGTTATACGCCCACTTTTGTCTCAGCCTAAGTCTAGATTAGAATGTAAATTGCTCAATGTTTAGAGCTACCCATAGCTCAAGCTTGACACAATCCCAGGGAAAAAAAAAAGAACAAAAAAATTTATAAATTTAATAAATTAGTAATACTGAGTAGTTCTTAGATTATAATTGCCATTTCACTGATGTTAGCGTACAATGCGCAGAAAGTAACGCAAGAAAGCACCGTTTGGTTCCACTTGTGTATTGAGTTTTCAAAAAAAATTTTATGCTACTTTATTTTTTTTAAATACATTAAAAATATGTGATTGCGAGTTCCGAAACAACTAAGCATTGAATAACGTAGAATATGAAAAAACAGAAAATAGGAATCAAATAGACCATTAGTTTGGAAGTTGTATACAAGCCCATAGATAAAGTAATCACATGCAAGTATCTACTTTATTGATTACAGCCAATAATCAAACCTATTTATTCTAAAAATTGTAACCAAATCGTTAATATTTGACATTTAATATTCAAAGAAAACTACATCCATGTCCCAAAAAAATAAATAGCATCACATTTGTAACACAGCTACAGTTCCTCCACTCGGGTTCTGTGGTAGGATAAACAAACGGAGCGAGCAATTGACTATGGAGTTGGAACTTTTGATTTAGGGTTCTGTGGTGAGATTGAAAGTTACGAAACCCTCTTTCACGATATTTGAGACATTCATTTCCTTACGTTTCCAATTTGTCATTTGTCACAAATTGGTGCACTTTTTTCCAATCTTTGTTGCGGGAGAATAACTTGTGTCGGAGACTACGAACTTGATTTGTGGGCTTCCGTATGGGCAATTAGCAGGAAATCAGCAAATGGAATAAGGGAAGGTAAGGGGTGAGCAACAGAGGATTTGAAGTAATTTGAAGGGAGAATTTATGAAAGCAACTCAGGCAAGGTAAATATTGACACGTAACTTTATGTATGGGTTAAATTAAGACCTGAAATAATAATTTATGAATATTCTAAGAGGATTATGAATTTCCGATTGTTTATACTACGCGACAAACTTTAGGCGAAAGTGGAAAAGCTTATCGTAAGGTTGTTTCATCAATTTTGGTGAAATAATCATGTGCTAAGTTAAAAAAAATGATTCTTTGTAGTTTTCAATGTGATTATGTATTTGACACAATTGCATCCAAAAACTTTTACGTATTGCGGATGAATGGTTGCATAAACTATATGAATGCAGGCTTGATTTGCCACTTGCATTAACAAAGATTTTTTAGTATGTTAGAAATCTGAAGAACATGCTTATGGAATCATTATTTACAGGTATTGATTTACTTCGATTCATACATATGATATATAAAACGCCTATGATAAATGCTTGCTACAGGAATTATAATTTAAGAAATGTCACAAGTGATGTTATAGATAGGCTATTACCTAAATACTTGCAATTATAAATAATAGAAAATGATGGGATTCCTAAATTCTAGTATTCAGATGAAGAAGAAACTCAGGAAGCTACTGAGATTAGACAGGGACAGAATGTAGGAAATCTTTGGTACCGACAGAGCTATTTATAAATTCTATATTGTGAATGTGAAAGATTTATGAAATAAAATATATCAAGTATGTTAAATTAGACTAGCTCATCACCGATCGGTCTTGATTCTACAAGTGAGGACTAGTGCTGGTGAGAATTTTTTTTCTTACAGAATCGTTCGCTTTAGTTGCTCCACAGTAGACCCTTTAGTAGGGGGCAGCTGGAGTGTGACAATATTAGTCTTCAAAGAAGGACAATTGATCATTTATCCGCCACCCTTCCTCTAGTAAAATGATCCTCCTTGTGTAATTGATGGAAATCCTTTTGCTAGGAATGATGGTTACGACATTAATCAAATAATTAAATATAATATGAAATGCATTTGTTAGAGATGATCTTGGATGTCCAAAATATTTCTCCACATCAATTTTTAAATAGGAAAAATGGTGTTTCCCTAAGGGAACCTAATCATTATAGATGCAAGCCTTATCCTATAGATACTCTACAAACATTCGGTAATAAAAAAAGCTTTGAAGATGTTTCTGACTACCACAAAATAGTTGTCAGGTTTATCTATCCATCATTAGCATGATAGCATTTGTTGTAGTCAAACAATATATGCAAAATCTAAAGTAGAAATATTGGGATAATGTCGTAAGAATTTGAAGATATCTTAAGAAAATCTCTGAGAAAATGATTCGTCTATCATAAACACAATCATTTAAAGATTAAAGCTTTTCTTAAAATTAATTATCTTGGATCTCGTGAGGATCAGAAGTCTAACTTGGAATATTGTGTCATTATATATAGGCAGAAATCTCATGTCTTAAAGAACTAAATAGCATATTGCTACAGCTGGATCAAGTATTAAAATTAAATAGGGTCACACACATTTTACTTGCAAAAGGAAGTGAATAAAACTATGATAGAATAGACCAACATCTTTATAGCACAACCTAAATTCCCTTACTATTATAATCAAATGGCTATCATCATTGCAAACAAAAATTACCAAACATATCAAAAATAAATTGTCACTTCATCAGAGATGCAATCCTAACTAAAACAATCATCACAATGAATGTTCCCAATAAAGTACAATTACTACATTACTAATATAATAAGACCTCTTCAGTTTTTTAACATGTCTTCTGGTAAATTCAAACATTTTGATTCATATGCTTCTGTTTAAGAGGGAGTATTATTATAAGAATGTAATACTAGATTAGAAAGATAGTTTTATAATTGCAATAAATACTCAAATTTTGGAATATTCCCCTTATTATCTTCCTTCTATGTTCTTCTCGTTTACTTATATATGGGTATTCAATCAATCTGTAATAAGAAAAGAAACATATTTTTAACAGGTTTTTAGAAAGCTATAGAGGCTGTCTTCCCAGTAAAAAATTTAGCCTTGTACTAGCGATGACTATTGATGATCCCATCCAAAGAAATATGTGCATATGCAGCTATATTAATACATTTAGCAATGCCAGAAATGGCAAACCATTTTACGCGGAAGCCCATCCAACAAAGTACTTGCAGAATAATAATTAAATGTTATCAAATCATGCTCTTATTAGGAAAAGTACACCTTCTGAGGATTAAAACGGTTCTCTTTGTGCTTTCCACTGTCCACAACATATACTACATCATCAATGGTAATACTCGTCTCTGCAATATCCGTGGATATAATAACCTACAACAAAATATAGAGAAAAAGGGTGAAAAGCACAATATCATAATATATTAATCAAAGCCTGCAACTTCTACATTAATTCTTTATCGTACCCCGATCAAATCCAAGGGAGTAGTAAACTAATGCCTAAAAAGAGTGATGCAAGGTCATAAAATAAAATGTCAGAAAAACCACGCATTACAACAATGTTCCGATAATGATTAAAAACATGCAGCATGGCCATTTGCTAGTCGGCGGTTTAAACCAACATTTACTGAAAATATTTACAAATAAACGTTCACACATTCAAAAAAAGGTAATTAGCTTTTCCATTGGAATTTCATTGTCCCTTTAGCCATACATTCACATTAGTCTTTAAGGAAACATCTAAAGCATATTTATACTATAAAACATAATAAAAATATTGATCTGATCACTTTACCCATCCCCAAACTGCTCCCTGATTCCTCCCTCTAGCCGCCAACCTGCTGCTATCGCCTCCAGCTAGCCACCAGCCTTGTTGCCATCCATGAAGGGGAAATACAGCCAACACAGCCCTCCCAATCAACTGTCGCCTCTTCCCAACCTTCCCCACCAGCTGTCCCGCCGCTGACGAACTTCCGGCAACATTATTGCTGCAGCATCTGTCATTTCTGCCCTTTTCCCTTGCTACCCTCACGCGGTCAGCCCTCACACATCATTCCCCGCCTTTGTACTTGAGGTACAACTTCCCCCCCCCCCCCCCCCCGTTTAAAATTTGTGTCATGTCAGTTTCTACTTTCAATTTATAGCATCGTGTTGTTATTTCCTATTCATGTTGGATGTTTGTAAGTCCACATTTGAGTTTCATTAATAATTTTTTTTTTTTTCTATTGTGATTTGGATTAATTTTGGTATCAGAGCTAATCTTATCATAATATTATGCTAGAGTTTCTAGCACCCCCTACAAATTTTTTTCTTTTACCTCCACCCTACTCACCTCCCTTCACCTATCCCCATCCAAAACCCTAACCACGACCCCGATGAGACAATTTTCGGAATCTAAACAGGAGTTTATCTTGGAAAAGATAAAGAGATAACTCACCGAGTACTACAACAGCTCGAAATAATTTGGGAAAGAAGACCATCCAGTGAGGTCACCCGAACTCTATTCGAATACATAGATGAAGTGCAAAGGATATAGGGATGAAGTGTTTGTTAGAGGATACAAAGGTGAAGTGTTTGTTAGAGATTTCAGAGATGAAGAATCTGTACTCCGAAGAATTGACCTAAAATATCTGAGAAGCTAGGATTTTGAGGTAACTATGGATGTCACATTTTGACAATCACTTGGATCTAGATGAGTTCGTCGAGTGGGTTCAGAACGTAGAATTTCTCTTTGAGTACTAAAAAGTCCTACCAGACGAAGTGATGAAACGAGCCGCCAGCAAGTCCAAAAAAAGTGTTTGGAGGCAAAATTTAAAACACCTGTGGCAAAGTAACGGAGATGATAAGATCACTACTTGGTCCCAAATAAAATATTAGATGCAGCATCAGTACCTACCAGCTATTATGAACAAGATGAGCAGACCCTATCTTCAAAAGTGAAGAGACAATATTATCAGATGACTACTACATAATACAGGCAAAATTAAACCTAGAGATTTTATAGCAAAAGTACACTCAGGGGAACATCCAAGCTGACATGCTTAAGGAGGCACTAGGTCAGAGTGGAGAACAAATGGAACCAATCCACATTCACAAATTCAACTCAGTCATAAAGTGTTTCAAGTGTCACTGCATAATAAATCAGATTACACAACCCAAAGAATGATCCCTTTCAAGGATCAAGGAGTAGTTGAAGAAAAATAAACAGTGATCCCGGAGAAGATGAAGATTTAAGATAGGATTCTCAACTTCCGCCGAAGAGAGAGGGACGCCAATGATTACAGTTAAACTTGAGAAAGAGACTCCAGCTGAGATGATTGTAGCTGTTCTAGAAAGTAGCAAGTCTAAGGCAATGAGACGTTCATGTAGAATATGAAATTGTGATGCCTCAAACTATTGTTTTACACCCGTTGAAAGGAGCATCAGTAGAACTGACATTGGATGTCCAAAAGAGTCAAAACTTTGAGTCGAAATTCCCGAAAAGGGAAATACAGACTTCAAATATATAACTTAACACTTGAGTTGCTTGTACTCAGGGGGTCCAGCATATCAAAGAAGAAAAATGCTTCAGCTAAGTTTGAAAGACCATACGAGGGTATTTAGGAAGTCCAGCCAATTCAGTAGCGTACTTACCAACAGAAGATCAGATAAGAGAAATGACCAGCAGTGTTGAAGATTACCTCATGAATTTAGCAGGAAAAAAATATGCTATAATGAAATTCAGATCCTTTCAAAGAACAAGAGAAAGAACAAGAAGTCGCTCCTGCGTGGTTACTAGTTGTAGTTGCTCAGCCTACCATAAATTTTGGTCCTAGATATGAATCCTCCTTACTTACTTGTTTACTAGATGCACTCAGACAAGTACTAGTGGAAAAGGCAATAACAAATTTGGTGACTCAAGGCTTGATTTGTGAGGATACCAATCCACATGCAACTCTAGCTCAGTTTGTCATAAAAGGATGAATACTTATTCTAGCAGGATGTGTTTTGGAACAGTAACGCCTGTAGGATTAACATATCAGGAGATTGTTCAATTTCCACTACTTGTAACGTGCTTGATTTGACTTCATACTACAAGGACACATAAGCTCGACAGAGGACATCGAATCTCCCCAAAATCGGGGAGACTAACACGAGGCATCGTTTGCACCCAAGTCATGATGAGTAAGCAGCATTGAGCCAGATCAGCCAAGGAAAAAGTGGGACCGAAGGGTCCTTCTAAGTACGACGTTCCCTCCAATTGGGAGCAAGGTCCACTCCTCTTTATCCTAGGTCTATATAGGTGTTGTTTGTTGTGTGTTGGAATAATTTTTTATTCATACTTCTGTCAGGACAGTTGTTGGCGTTCGGTTTTCCCTTCAAGAGTTGTATCTCTGGCTATAAGGTGCTCCAGTTGTAACTCATCCCAGGTGGAGTCTATCTATGCCCAAACTGCTTGTCCATTCCACCTTCAGCCTGCCACCAAATTGCTGCCATCACCTTTAGCCAGACGCCAACCTTGCTGCCATCATCCCCAATAGCCCACATAGCCCTCTAAATTGACCAACGTCCCTTCTCAACCTCCCTTGAAGCCTCCCCCACCAGCTGCCTCGTCACCGGCAAGCTTCCGAAAGTGTTACCATTGCAATCGCCACTGTTTCCGCCCTTTCCCCTTGCTGCCCTCAACCCGACCAACCTTCATGCAACGGTCCCCGGCTGTCCACTTGTTGTCCAGCCTCGGGGAAACCGCCGCCTTGCTACGTTCTGCTTGCGAGCAATCTTTTCCACCCTTAAGCACTGACCACCACCACCACCCAATATCCACCCTCATTGAGTGTTTGTGACGTGTCAGTTGCTACTTTCCATTCTATATCATGTTCTTATTATTTCCTATTTTAGTTGGTTGTTTGTAAGTTCACATTCGAGTTTCGGTAATAAATATTCCTCCATTTTCAAATTATCTGCATGTTGATTATGCATTTAAAATGTTCAATATAATCATATAAATTATATAACTTTTAACTCAATTATCTAAAAAGAGGTAAATAAAGTATCCCGACAGTAATGTAAGGGAATAATTTTGCTTAGTGTTTTTATTGCAAAATAGCTAAATTTTCAAACTAGTAGAAAAAAAAAAGGAAACAATATTTTATAAAAATATTTCCTACATCACAAAACTTCATTTGGTAATATTGTGTTGCATCTGTGCAATTTGCCATTGCTACTCTCACAAAAATAAATGAGTTGCACTGCACGTGAACTGCCCATGATGATTAAGCCATAATGTGCAGACGCGCCATAGAGCTTTCTATTACATGCTTCACATGCAATTCGAAACTGTGATAAGCCGGTTTTGGAAAGCAAAACATAAGAAAAAGCATTACTAATAGAAAATTAAATGTATAAGCCGGTTTTGGAAAGCAAAACATAAGAAAAAGCATTACTAATAGAAAATTAAATGTAAGATTTTTTTTTATTTTATACCCCGCTTCAGCAATTCAGTTAAATAAGTTATTTCTGTCAGAAAATTAATAATGAAAACAGCACCCAAAAAATATTTCCATCAACCAGGGAAGCAAAACAAATTCCCCATAAATGAAAATTCTAATAAATGCACCAATAAATTATGGTTTCAGATAACTTTCATATTTCATGAAATTTCTATATTTCACAAAAAACAAAAAAAATGCATCAAATTGCTGCAGAATAGCTCAATAGAAACTATTCATACTGTTAGCATCATATATGCCTTCTTAAGCCTTAATTACATTAGGTTTAAGTCAAATTAAATCATAATTATGTTTAATCCCTATTAAGCTTAATTAATCAAAATTAAATGTTAAGATTTTTTTTTATTTTATACCCCGCTTCAGCAATTCAGTTAAATAAGTTATTTCTGTCAGAAAATTAATAATGAAAACAGCACCCAAAAAATATTTCCATCAACCAGGGAAGCAAAACAAATTCCCCATAAATGAAAATTCTAATAAATGCACCAATAAATTATGGTTTCAGATAACTTTCATATTTCATGAAATTTCTATATTTCACAAAAAACAAAAAAAATGCATCAAATTGCTGCAGAATAGCTCAATAGAAACTATTCATACTGTTAGCATCATATATGCCAACAAACTACATCAAAGAATTTATTTGCAATTATAAGCTCAAAAAAGTGAATATTACAGTTAGGTTACATCAAAAGAAGACAGAAACCTTGCGTATATTTTCAGGTGGAGATGAAAACACTTTGTGTTGATCTATTGAAGCAAGAGATGAATGCAAGGGAAGAACCCAATCAGATGAAACTCCACCAAATTGAAAGCTAGCAGCTAATTTGTCAACTAGAAATTCAATTTCTGATACTCCCTGAATCAAATAAATTATGTCAAAATATACTGTGATAAGTTAGATTCATATAAAGTAAAAGAAGAGAGCAAAAATATTATCACAATTAAACAAAATAATACAAAAAGATAAAGAAAACATGACAAAGAAAATCTACAAGGGTAAAAAGAATAAAACAGCATCAAATTAATAGAACTTACAGGTAGAAAGACTAAAATGGCTCCTGGTGGGCATGTTACATCAATATGGCATATTAAATCTTCCAGAAGATCAAAATCAATCACATCTTCATTCAAGTTTTTCTGGAGAATCAGGTAAAATTGCTTTGGTATAAATATACAAGATAAGACTGCAGCCAGAGAATCACAATCTAGAATGTTTGAGCTTACGAGATTCTGCTGTGTCCTCTCACTGTAGGATTGATAGTGCTCCGGAAAGTAATAGGGATTGACATAGCCTTCATACAGCAAGGATTCATCGCCCAAAGCGGACATGATGAGACTCCTTTTTCCCCTATGGTTATCCACAGAAGTTTTCCCCAGCTTAAGCAAAAACATAAACGTTTAGAATAGTTGGCTACTACAATCTGGGAAAAAAACTAGCAAACTTAAAAAATTAAAAAATTAATAAAAATAATAATAAAAAAAATGGACATGACCGTAGGATGTTGCTTTCTAATTAATAGGGAAAAAATAAGCATAGAAAAATTTAAACCAGCATATCATACAGATATAGAATGGTCCTAGGCTCCTGTGCCCCTGGCCATCAAAATGAACAGAACATAGCTATCCAAAATGATGAGGGCGATGGTGCATTGAGCTTAAACAAGACAAAGCAAGGATATCCCAAGAAGCCTTTTGTCGTTCCTATCCTGGTTATAGCACATACTTACCTATTTGTCGAGTAACACACGTTAGATGCAGCATATTGACAAGACTTACTTTCTACTTTCTAAATAAATAATTAGCTTTTGTGGATAATACCAGATATTGAACATGTACAACCCGGTCTAATAACTTAGAATTAAAATCAGGAACTGCAGTCGGGTGGTATTAACATTTACTTTACTTTCCATAGTTTTCTAGAGACTTCCAATATATAAAAGAGTCATTAATAATGCACAAGTACAATATACAAAAAATTAAAACATTCAAAATAATTAACGTAATCTGTAGACATCTCAAACCAACACATAACAGTATCTCACTATCCCGAAAAAAATAATGTAAAAAGAAGCCAAAATCACATCATAACATGATATCTATTAGTTGTAGTCGTCCTTCTGTAGAGTAAATCTCTCGTGTCAAACATATCAACCTATAATTTTTTTTCCCTGAAATAAACTATTACATTGAACATTAAACTTCCATGATTTAGTTGTTAATTATAATATTATTATGCATTAAATTAAAATATAAATTTTATGCATGAATGATAAAAAAAATATAGTACATTACTTTAAAAAACTATAAGCTTTCATTTTAAATTTATCTTTTCCCGTTTCAATTAAATTATTTAACATATTTAACCTTTTTAAGAGTCATATCAGAATTATCGTCATATACCTGAAGGTACCCCCAAAATTGTACCTATATGTACCCTCAATAATTTAAACCTAAAGGTACACCATTAACTTTTTTTTTATCTTCCGCGAGTATATTGTATTTCGTATAAGTATCATCTAGGAGTAATCTTATATGACTTGAGCTTTTACATTTCACATAGTTTGATTATTTCCATTTAAGGTCATTAAAATCACCATTCCCCTTTTTTATTTTCATTTTTATTAATTTTAGTAATTATTTCAATTATAATATACCTCAAATTATTAAAACAGATTTAGGAAATAGTAATACAGTTATTCATTTAATAAAACCTTATTTTAATACGCACAAGAAAATAATTCTAAATTTTGCCTTAAAAGACCGTTGTAAAAACTTATTCATTCACTTCGCTTCCTTGACTATTACCTATATCAGTTTAAGATATATATAACTATAAAAATCTCATCCTAAAAGAAAGACTTAAATATATCTAATGACACAAAAATAAGTATACAATTCCATACCTTAAAATGTTTGGTTTTGCTTCCTTGCACAAAATTCCTCTAACTCCCTTACAATTCTAATTGATTCAGCCTCTAGCCTTCTGTCTTTAATATCAAATATAGTTAAACTCGTAATTATCATTAAGTAAACCAATATTTCAATTCAAGTAACTAACATCATAAAACTTTAAATAACCATAAGGTTTAGTTCTTACGGTTTGCACACAAAGCTTAGATTCTTTCACGAGTAATCTCCCTTCTCTTCCGCACCTTAAATCTATTTTAAATTCATAATTTTTTTATATTAATATCAAAACATATCAAATAAATTAAATCTATATAATTTGATAACTTAAATCCTACTCTAACCATATAATAAAGCTCAGTTTGGCTCTTCCTACACAGCTTGGATTCTTCTCCTATAAACAGAGCTGCAACTTTCTTCCTTCGACTTCTTCTTCTTCCTCTACCTTCGATCGTGGCTCCAAGTACCACAGCTCACTGCCTTCACTAGGCCTCTGCTCCTCTTCCTCCACAGCTTAGCATGGTAGTAGCACATGAAGTCGCGGCCTCCTTCCTTCTTCGGCTTCGATTCCTCCTTCACACACGCATGGATTGACTCACCGCACGCACATTCCTTTCTCTTCTTCTTTGAATCTCCTTCAACTAGGGTTAGGCACGGCAGAACGTAGAGAGCACGCAAGCACAGCAATCACAGCATCAAAGCCGCTCGATCACCTTCCTTCATCCTAAACCGATCGGTTAGTGCTTGACGTCATCCCTTACACACGCAAGCTATGACATCCTCCCTCCCTATCTTCTTCTTTTGTCTCTCGCTCTCCCTCTTGTTCTTCGTTCGTTCCCTGAAGACTACAAGTGAAATGAGTTCCCCCTTCGACTTCTAATATTCAACCGTCTAAATTTTATTTTGAATCAATTTTATTATTATTCGTCTAAGGGATATTTTGAATCAATTTTACTATTATTGTTACTTTTTTATTTGTTATTGCTATTATTATTATTTGTTTAATTCTAGTTATTATATTTTTTCTTTATAAAATTTCGTCTTTGACATTTGAAAATAACGATGAAAGCAAAAAAAAATCTCAAATGAAAAGCTATGGGTATATTTCTTACATCTCAAAGACTTTCTCCCAAGTAGCATCTTTTTCTGACTGGTGTTTCCATAAAATTTTCACAAATGGAATATCCGTTTTGCGCAATTTTTTTATACCATAATCTTGTATTCTATCAGAATTCTTAATATAATTCAAATCAGGTTGAATATCAACTGTTATAAGATCCATCTGCAATACGCTTTCTAAGTAAAGAAATGTAAAAAATATTAAGCACTCTTACATATGAACTGGTAAAATCAATGGGTAAGTGATATTTTCAATCCTCTCCACAATCTCATATAGTCCTAAATATCTCGGACTCAATTTCTCTGTCTTCCCAAAATTTTGCACACCCTTCAATGAACTGGCCCTAAAAAAGATATATTCTCCAACATCAAATTCCACTGGTTTGTGCTTAGTAGTATTATATTTCTTCTGCTTATTTTGCATTGCCTTTAGTTTGCCCCCGATTAATCTGATTTTATTAATAGTATCATCCACCAAGTCAGTTACAATGGCATTTCTTTCACCTGCTTCAGCCCAACATAACGGCGTCCTGCACTTTCTTTCATACAGAGCTTCATATGAAGCCATCACAATACTAATCTAGTAATTGTTATTGAATGCAATTTCTATCAAAGGAATATGTGATACCCAACTTCCACCAAAACTAAGTACACATGACCTTAGTAGATCCTTTAAAGTCTAAAAAGTTCTTTCTGACTGACCATCCTTCTGAGGGTGAAAAGTTATACTGAAACTCAATCCAGTTCCCAAAGCTTCCTAAATCTTCTTTCACAACAATCTGGAAGTAAATCTATCATCTTTATCGGAGACAATAGACGTTGACACTCCATGTAACCTTACAATTTGATTCACATTTAATTTGTCTAGTTTCTCAACTAAATCTGTCAGTCCAATTGGCAAGAAATGAATAGACTTAGTCAATTTGTCAACATTTGCCCAAATAGCATCCCTACTCTAACATGATATAGGTTATCCAATCACAAAATCCATAGTAATCTCATCTCATTTCCATTCTGAAATAAATAAATGTTGTAACCTACATCTAGGACAATGATAATCTTCCTTCACTAGCTGACATGAACGAAACTTAGCCACAAATTTTGTCCCTCCTCTTCAATCCTGGCTACCAAAATATTTCTTTAAGATCCTGGAACATTTTATTACTCTTTAGGTGAATAATACAGCCAAATAAATGTGCCTCCTCAAGAATTTCCTTTCTCAGATTACCAACATCTGGAACATAAATCTTGTCTTCATATTTGAACAAGTCATCCTGATCTAACAAATACTTCCTCAAACTACCAGTCTTAACATGTTCCAGGATTTTCTGAACATCAATATCACTAGCAAATAAATCCTCGGTACAGTCATTTGAAGTGAACTGTAGAATCAACTAATTTAATTGAATTATACTGTCATCAATATAATTAAATACAGATAACTGAAGTTTATCAAAATTTCTAAGTAACTTCTCCCGCTGAGTAAAAAAACAGTTTAATGTACCAGCAGACTTTCTGTTCAACGCATTCGCAATCACATTAGTCTTTCCTGAATGATATTGGATATCCAAATCATAATCTTTAATAAACTTAAGTCGTCTTCTTTGCCTCGAGTTCAGCTCTAAGTAAAAATGTACTTCAAAGTCTGATGATCAATAAATACTTAACATCTAAGATAGTGTTATCATATCATAAGCCAATTGTTGCAAGCTCCAAATCATGTGTGGGATAGTTTCATTAATGATTCTTCAATTGCCTTGAAGCATAGGCAATGACTCTTCCATGTCGCATAAGTATACAATCTAAACCTTTCAAAAATGCATCGCTAAAAATCTGAATCTCATCTAAACCTAAAAGAATAGCAAATATAGGAGCAGACATTACACAAGTCTTCAACTTCTCGAAAGCCTCCTCACAACAATCTAACCATTCAAACTTAGAAGAGGCAGCAATGCCGCCACCCTTCCTTTTATGTCTTTTCTCCTTTCCTGTTTCTCGCCTGATGGGAGTTTATTTATATACTTCTCACTGGAAGTTTACCCTTCCCTTGCTAGGATTGTATCTGACGACAGGTAGCACTTCAGTTGTGACCTGGTCCGAGGTGATGTTGTATCCTTTCTGATTTCCTCTCTAATATCTTCACTATCCTCTCTAACGACTAGCCTACAGCCTCTCTTCCTCCCCCAGCCCACTAACAGCCTGTCGACCCTTCCCAGTCAGTTGTCCACCAATCTAGCCACAAACCTGCGCACTTCTTCCCTTTACTTGCAGCTATCCTTGTTGTCAAGTTCGTTCAACCATTACCCAACACCCCACCACTTCCTTCCCTGCAGCATTCCTTCTCGTGCCAC